GAAATCCAAGTTCCTAGATCGGACATTCAAACAGTGGTCCGTACAGTTATCGAAACAGATCAGCAACAGGCTTCTCAAATGCAATTTTTGCAATTTCAAAACCGATGCTTGCATTATCAACTTCAATAAATGCAAGTTGCTACAGTGAAGATGCAACAACAGCTGTCTTTGGAGTCTAGCACCCAAACTATGTCAGTGCCAGCCCGGAACTTATCAGATAACGTGAAGGCTCTTGGTTCGCGCCCCAGATCTCGGTCAAAGGGTCCTGATGATGGACAAATGACAAACATTTCGAATGATGGGTGGACTTGGTGATTGGAACGCCGCTCATGGAATTATGAAAACCGTCCACACAATTTGAGTTTGGATCCAAGCCAGAACCTTAGACCTTCAGTGGGGGTGCCTGCTCCTCCGGCTTTTCCTTTGACGATTCCGACAATTGGGCTTTTTCACCACAAATCCGATTCAGGTGGTCGGGACCTTATAGGATCAAATGTGCTACCACCGTCGCCACATGTTCGTAGCGGTATGGACCTATTTCGTTGACACCTTCATTTCAACATGGGCGGAAACTGGTTCGCCGATATGTGAAACGCAAACGTGGTGATCAGTGCGCTATTCATTCACAATGTGTGGACAAGCATACAAAAAATTGTTCACATGCTCTATTTATTGGGATCAGACACAATGATGAAATTTGAGTGTTCCAAACTGCTGCCTTCTGCAAAAGCTGACACGGACTATGTATTTTTGATGTATCGTTTGAGTCGCAACATGACAGAACCTTTCCGGTCCCGAGCTCAGAAGCAACTGCGATTGATATTGCAGTTTCGGGGTACAGACATTCCACCATCAGTCTTTGCTTTTCATAGCACCAGCTGAATTTCATGTTTACATCTAGTTTCTAGCTCAAGAACATTCGGTTTGATTGAAAACATGGGACGCGATTCTCGTTCTCGTTCACGTGGTCGGGACCGCCAGCATCGTCGAGGCAGCGAACGTAGAAGGGATTCTCGAGTTCGGACCGCGCCACAACAGAAGTCAACACTGATGAAACCTACTCAGAAACATCGTCGGATCCTTAGCATATTTCGGTTTTCGCGACTGCCAGCAATTTTCTCGTGGCATTGGTGGCTTCAACCACACTAGGGATTTCGCATGGTTACGCTAGGAATTCAGACAAACATAACTCTTGAGAAAAGAAGGGCAAACCAGCTGCTTCAGCCGTGGTAGTTTCAGGATGTGAACCGAACAAACACACAAACGAACAAACTCGAAAGAAACAGATTGCCATAACAGATTACCATGACAAACGTGAGTAAACTGCCTCACTCTGCATACTTGACAGTTGGACAGTTGCTCAGTCTTTGCATTTCATAGCACCAGTTGGACAGTTGCTCAGTACATTCTGCAAAAGAGAAGAGATGGGCTTTGCGCAGTCATCGCAGTCAGCTGACACATGTAGCTGTTCTCTTTCCAAATGTAAACATGACGGCATATTGCCGGATTTGCAACGTTTCAACTTGCTCTGTCACCTCCAAGACCTGAGACATGCATACCCAGCAATCTTTTCGACGCATGAAAATCATATTCGTGGCGTTATTCACCGCAATTCATTTCCATGACATTGAGTCGAAGTTTTAGTGTGGATCTTCAGTGGCATCAGTTGGTGTGTCGAACCTTTTTGGATCACAACGTATTTACGTTGTGCCGTACGAGCCCTGTCCAGACCTTACATCACATACAGAACTCAGTTCCAGAGATGTTGGCTCATCCCTACTCTTGGGGTTTAGATTTCAATGCTCGTCTCAGTCAAGGGTACATTCTACCCAAACCCGGTCGACATTTTCTCAAAGCTCGACCTATAGTGAACTACAGTTCAGCATGGCCTCGTAGACTAGGCCAAGGATTGGGAATTGCTTTGCTTGAAATTCCCCAAGTTGTATACCACGAATTGCTCAAGTACAAAGATGTTGACGATGTGATGAATGAAATCAAATCATTGTTCAGTTTTGCAACCACACAAGACATTGAGTATGAACTCTATCAATCCGACATTGCTGGATTCTACCATCAAGTGGAACATTCTCGCATTTTTCAGGCGGTTGAATTCGCGCTCCATCAGTTTTGCTTATTGCAGCATGTCCATTTAGACTCGACTCGACTTTACAGACTCATACCAACAAAATGGAACGCGCTCTTCGAACTTTTCGAGGACACTGGAGATCACAAAGCAAACAGTACCGAGAAATCAAATTGGCTGACAAACCTGCACTGGTTCAGTATTTATTGAATCGTTCTTATTTTCATGTGGGGGTTCAAGTATTCAAACAACACTGGGGTGCTTCCATGGGGTCCCAGTGGGCCCCAATTCTATGTTCAGCTGCTGCATTGATGCGAGAACACATTTTCGCACACATGTATCCCACACTTCTTCTCAACCTTATTTCTCCCATCGATATGTCGATAATCGATTACTTTTGATACCCTGTGTCACTTTCAACAATTCTGTTCTTCAACAATTTTGGAGATTGAACTTTTACACTGCTCCTATCCTATTGGAAGTGGTAGATGGCCAAGAAGCTCTTGGATTCACTGTTGATCCTATTCAGAGTACAATTACTTATATTCAACCTTGGGACAAGACTCTTCGAAGTACTCGGAGCTCTGGCACATCACGAATTCTGAAGTCTGGACTGCTGGCACGACTTCGTCTGATTCTGAATAATGTGTACCCGGAAGCAGTTCGCCGAGCCCAGGTTCAAGATTTTCTTGCCTGGTTTCATTTGATTTCACCAACGCTGTTCACACCCACATTTAAGAACCAAGTTGCTATGCTATGTCGACAATGTAGATGTTTCATGTCTCACACTCAGATGTTTCGCTACGTCTCGTAGAAAAGTTTGCCCTGAGGGGCCGGTGTGTGTTTGAAAACCGTTATAACAAACGGTCAGTTGTTCGATTGGTCATTTTGATATTCGCAGGGGGCCCGTGGGCACATGGATGGCACGGGCCAACGAAGACCCATCCATGATGTCGTGCAAACGTACCTGCGCTTTGGTTTGAACTGTTGACCAAGCTGTTCCATTTTGATCAATTTTGCTGCATAAATCCTCCAGGTGACTTAGGACATTCCAGGCGTCGACAAGTTCAACTCTCTAACGTTCCTACACAATCACAAATTCTCACAGTGTGTGTGTGTGTGTCTAACTTCTGAATAGAAGTAAAACTTATAAATAATTTCATAGTTCTTGGAGGGGGCTCATGGGCCCTTAGATGGCATGGGCCAATGAAGACCCACCCAAGTTGCTACGAAAACGTGCCTGCATTTTTTTTCTTTGAAATGCCTAGCAGCCAAGCCAAGAACCGCCAAGAACCACCAACAGGGGTCTCTTTCAGGTTCGTAGGTAGGTCCCTTCAAGAGTGCAGGATTCAATCCCAATTTGTCGCTCCGACTATCCTTGTCTGTTTTTTTTTTTGGTGTGTGTGTGTGTGTTTGTGCGCGGCGTGCTATCTGAACAGATGGAAAACTTTTATTCTTTTCGACGTTGTTTGAGGTTTAACCTCCTGGTTTCCAATGAATTTTATGCAGGGGAGTGTGGCATGATTGTGCGACCACATTAAACGAAGCTGCCACAACCATGAAGTACAGGGCCTGATCAACCCAGCGAAAATGCTATTTGGTTTTCATTGATCAAACCAACTAACCCAGCACGCCCATTTTTAATTTTGAAGATTTCCTGTACAATTGACCCAAATCTGAGCATGAACGCCTGATTTTTTTCCTTCCGCATTTAGGGCAATTTGAATCCTTTCTTTTTGAGCATCTTGAACCAATTGGTCTATATTTGTTTGGGCGCACGTGAAACAGTTTTCCTTCCACGTTTGGACATTCATTTCGGGGATTCCATTTCGACGCTTTTGCATCCATGATGGGCATACCAAGTCTACATCGGGATCAGTTTGAGTTGGCATCATGGACGGATGAAATTGTGGTTCTTTGCAATCCGTGCTTGAGGTTTCTTGAGGTTCCACTTCCGTGACTCTCTATACAAAACTGTACACCTTTAGATACTTTTAGCATCTTTCAGCTGTTTTTGCACGAGGGATGCACTCCAATAAACCAAGTGGGAATACTGGTCTTGTCAAGCGTGTGCGTGCGCACATGGACGCCAGTCCCTCCATACTTCACTGCTGGTTTTGTGAATTTGTTCCAGGTGTGAGATGACTTTGCATCTCTGTGTGGTCCCGGTTTTCATTCTGGTAAATTGATGTAAATTGTATCCACCAAATTCATGGTAGCTCCTTAGGCATGTCATTTGTTTGGTTCGATTTCACCAATCATCCTGAGGACCAATTTGTATGCAGGTGAGCAATTGACACGTTGATCCTGCGGACATAATGGGAATTGAGCGGGAAAGTCAGAAATTTGGAAGGTCAAACGGTCAAACTTGTCTTTCGGTCAAAACACACTTTCCTGATGTGTTGTCCATTGAGTTAGAATCCATTTCTTGCACAGAGAATCCTCTTACACCCTTTGAAAGTTGGCATGTTTGGAAGCTTGGATTGTGGCTTTGTCTCCTAGCTTGTCTTATCTTGTCTCCTCTGCTGGATCTCTGGTTGCTCCGTGTTGGTTTCTATTTCCTTGGACGCTGTCTCCAACTTGTTTCCTGCTCAGCTTCTGAGTTTCACCCTCTTCTCCTCTCCAAGCTTGGCTTTACATTTTTGCTGGCGGCGGTGGGACGGATTTTCGCTGTGCCGACTTGTCTCCCAGTTTGAGTTTGGTTTCTCATCTATTTTCGATCATGCACCGAGTAGCCATCACAGCTGACCTGAAGCAGCCTGGTGCGCATAGTCTTGTGGGTCCATTCTCGTATGATTTGCGAGTTTTCAGCTGCTACAATGCATGGCGTCAAGGCAAAATCACAAAAAATCCCAAACTACAACTGTGCTCGCTGTACATGCTGTACTCGCTGCTTGAGCCATGCTGGGATGAACAGGCAGGTGGCGCAGGTGCTGCAACCCTTTGCGCTTCAGCCTCTTCCTGAAGGTCCGGTGGCCGGTGGGGTGTTGCACTCACTAAAAAGCGCAAGAGCAAGTGCAGCGGGCATGGGCTAGACAGCAGACGAGGAAGGAAAGAATGAGCTGTAATGTCAAAGTCAACACAAGCCCCTACCTGTGTGTGTTTCTGCTCCATTACAGAAGTCTCTTCCTATTCTGTAGATTTGTGTTGGGAGGCTTATTGAATGCAGCTGTGAAACATCTCAGGCCCACTGTCGGTCGGACTTCTATTTGTTTGATTGCTTGCATTTTGTTCCTGTGTTTGACTCTGAGTTGACAAAAGGATTCTTGCTTCGTCAAGTAAGCTCAGGGTTGGGATAATTTCCTGCCCACTTTGCGTCTGCATGTTTCCCAGGAGTCACACTTCCAACTACTCGCCACGAGACATTGTGGGGTTCTTATCTGGCCTTCGTTCTGCTCTCGGAGACAAGGCTTGACACAGCTCAGAATTTGACCAACACTAGTCCGTCGTATGACTCTAAGCCCTCAGATGCTGGGAGGCACTTGTAGAAAACTTGTGGAACACTTCAAGACTTCGCTTGCACACACGAGGTGGGATCAGACATGGGTCCTAGCCACAATTCCAAAGGATGGAATATCAGAAATGCTTAGGCGGAGAGGAATCTAGATTTGGGTGATGCCAATCAAGCTGTTTGCTCTGGTTTTGTTGTTTTTAAGATGTTCAAAGCGGCAGATTGCACTTGACAGATTTGCTAGCTTGTTCAATGTTGTCCAGGATAAACTCAGACGAGACACACGAATCAAAGCCCCAAAGGCAACAGCAATGAAAACATATCTATAGAATCTATATTTATATTCTCAGACTACAACACATGATGAGTTATGGACTCTTTTTGTGCAAGCTGTGTGAAATCAGAATACACCGGAGAGGTTGCTCGCTGACACGTAGGTCAATAACTGGTGTGGTTGGGGTTGTTTGTCATCTTATCCATTCTTATCCTTCTATTTGACCCGAACCTATGGGGCCATGACTTTTACTTTTACAGGTACGTCTAGTAGTAGTGACCACAGGATGAGCGTGCAGCTCGTATATGTAAGCCACTTTTTCTGCGAACGAATTGAACCTTCCTACAAGTACAGCATTTTTGAAAAGCATGCCGTTGATATTTGCCAAAAACTTTCTTGAGCCGTGCCAAACTTTGTGCGAGGCACACAGACTATTGCAACGGCACAGTCTTTGGTGCAATTGCGGAGTGTGATCCCTTTGTCCAAGCTCAGGCGGACAGATGGACACTGCATGACAGCCGCATGGCATGGCGTGGCATGGCGTGGCATGGCGTGGCATGTGTATTCTCACAGATTTGCTCGCCTGGGAAGGTATCGCTTCCGATTGCTGAGCCGTGATCTGCAACGGACTCTGAGAATCCGTCCAGTTCCATATGAAGAGCAGGTCGGCCACAATCAGAGATTCAGAGTGAGCGAACTTTTACTACTTACTTGTTGTGAATGATTTGATCGTGACAAGATCAGACAAGTGAGAATCAGACAGTTGGAGGAGCCCGGACTTTCGTTTGAGTTTAACATCTCACCTTTGAGCCTTGTGAAGGGAATGACCTCAAAATGCTTTTGCAAGCTGAATTGTCTCTGCAGCATTGTTGGACCAAACCGCGAAATACCCTGAAACTGTGTCGCGCAGCGCTGCTTGGGACTGGCCCTGGCTCCGATGCCTCAAGGCCTACGTGCAGCACCTCAGGTCAGAGGAGGTGACAGATGACGCTGTGACACTTGAATAATTCGAATACACTTGACATGAAGCCTTTTGACGCCTTTTGACGCCTTTTGACCCCTTTTGACGCCTTTTGACGCCTTTCAAATCTCAACAGTCTGCAAGATTGGTCAAGCAGCGCTGCAGACAATCTTCACAATGATTGACCTGCATATCTAATTTTGAACAAGAAGTAGGTCAGTGACGACTTGAAAGCATCAAGTTTGCAGTGACTGAGGCAATCTCATTGTTTCCTTTGCAGGTGAGGCAACTCATTCAGGCTAGGCCGGCTAGGCGGCTAGGCTTACTCTTGTGTTCGAAGAATTTCATTGCCTGTCAACGTGATGTTTGCAGCCTCCTCATGGCGTAGCTCATTTGAATCCTGTTGGGTCCTGTTGTGGCAGTAGGTGACCCTTGGGGCGGCCTGACGGCTGAAAAACTCATTTCCACGATGCTGGGTGCTTAGAATCGCCTAGAATCATTCAGAATCGCTTTGTCAGTGCTTGGACAAGAAAAGACATTCGAGCTTTGATGATTCCTGGTGGAAAGCTCTCATTTTACCACCCCATCTTTGTTTTTTATCTCACCAAGACGATTTTCAATGACTCTCACCTACATCTTTTTGCGGCCACAAGCAACATAAAGCGGCACTTTCAGCATTGTGCTCCGGTTACAGGAGCATTTCATACTTGGAGTTCTCAACGTGCTCCAAGTAGTCTCATATTTTGAGTATATGTTGGTCCGTCAAAATAAAGGAGACGAGAATGGTGAACCTGTAGGACAAACACCATATTTGGTGGGTTTGGACGTCTAAACTGAATGTATTTGTACTTAGCGTGTCTTGGTTGGCCCCTAGCTTGGCTCGGTTCAAAGTATGGTTGCTGTGCGAGCCGATCAAAACTGCAGTAGTCAGGGCGTGGTGGCAGCATGCTCCCCTTGCGGGGATACAAAATGATACAAAACTTGCAGTATAGGCGCAGATCTCCGTAAAAGCAATCAATGTTTGGAATGCCTACTGCCCAGACTCACCAATACCAGGCACATCACATCCAGGTATTTGCGCGCACATGCACATGCCACGCAGATGCACTTTCAAGATCTTTAAATGTACTTGCTGCATTTGCTGCATGCTCCCAGGATGTTGATCCTGTGAGGCACCCAAAAATGCAAAAGCTCCTGAAGGCTATGCCAGATGTTCGAAGAGATTATGTCCGAGAGCTCGACACTGCCCTTGTGGAGAGTAGAATCTTTCCGTTGAAAGATGTTTGGAGCAGTATTGTAAGTTCAAGAATTGTGTTTCAACATTTTTCAACATGTTTCAACATGTTTCAACATGTTTCAACCTTGTCATTGCTGAAAGAAGCCATTGATCGACTTTGTTTGATCCTAACGCCTGCATAACTTGAGCTCCCGCTAAGGAAGTTCCAGCAATTTTGATGACATCAAGATGCTGCGAGAGCAGATCGAAGGTGCCATCAAGGAGAGGCTCCAAGAGGCACAGACTGAACCATGAAGCAATTATTCTGCCGTGGTATTTGCTGCATACCATCTCATACCATCTCACACCATCTCATACCATCTCATACCATCTCATACCATCTCATACCATGTTTCACGTAGTTCAACTGTTGAATATTCTCTAGCCAAACAATACTTGTTTCGACAATGCTTCAAAGCTGATGGTCGAACAAAACCAACAGCAGGAGATAAACTATGAGATGCTTGTCCGCAATATGATCGAATTCAGCGCATACATAGATTGCATGATTGCCGCATAATTACCGCATAATGCCTTGATGAGTCTGTCAGTTGTCTCATTTGTCCCAGGATCGGAAAAAACCCGCAAGCTCTGGACGACTTGATCAAAGAGACCGCATCAAAGATGGCTTGCTGCCCTTTCTTTGTCCCTGAACCTGTGTTGGTTCGGAGGCAGGGTCGTGAGACACGGGCATGATTCCCAAATTCCGAGCAAGACTTGAGCAGCACCAAGTTTCACAATGTACCATGCAATTTTCATGCCATTTCAAGTGCTGGGCGCTGCAGGCGGCAGGGATGCGAAGGATTCCTTTGAACTGCAAGTGTCAGCAGTCTGCATCTTGGCACCTGCTGCGCAACCGTCTCGCAGATCAAAAAAGATCACGAAGTGAAGGGAAGTGAATGCAGATTGTCCCCAAAGTATGGGAATGCATCACAAGAGCCCAGTAGCAGGCAGCAGCCGGGAAAAGAATTGAAAACGAAGCTTGGAGCATGCAGTTCAACACTTTTCTTGCACAAGAGCACCACCTGTCCAAGAATCTTGACAACTTGACTAGCAAACATGCTGATGATCACTGAAGATGAGACGATTTCTGGTTGGGCAGCCCAGCGCGGAAATGTAGGCTTGGGCTTTGCGAATTTGGGCACTTCTTGGTTTGCGCGTCATGGGCTGAGAATAAGAAGCTGCTGAGAAACTATGAATGGTTTGGAATTGCTTTGTGAACTGCCAGAAATGTTTCTAAGGACTGGCCCCTGTTGGCCAAACTTGCAAGCAATTTGGTAGAGGCCGTTTTGAAGACGTTGGGCTGCTGCCATTGCAATACGGTGTCCTGGATGTTCCAGTCAGTATGTAGGTTGCTATTTTAATCTCTTCGCGACGCCTTGCGTCTAAGTCAACCTGCACCCGCAGGAATAGGAAGGCCATGGTGAAGCCTATGATTGAAAGTGAAAGGAGTGTTGCTTTGCACCCAACTTTGCCCTCAATCATTGCAACTGACTTCCTGGCATTTTTTCTTTCATATCCGCAAATTTGCCACCTAAGCATGGCAGTATCCACATTCCAAGGTCAAACATAATTTTCCTTCCCCGATTATCAACTCCCATCACTGCAGCAGGTTTATGTTGCATTTGCCTCTTTCACTGAAAGACAAGTGAATAAACTTGTCACGTCTTGTCGCATCTGTTGGCACGGTTGTCTTCACACTTCACCATCTGCTGGACAGATTGCTAAGGTACTGCGCCTAGACAGTCTTCCGAACCATAAATTGGATTGGACAGTCAAAAACTTTACAACAACTTTGAAAACCGAATGTTCAGCATTCTTTGCATATGTTTTCCCATCAACACAGATGAACAGAACCTTGCTGACAGAATCCAAAGCATCACTCTATGCCCTTCCTGTCGGGAGCCACGAAACGACCCACTGTGCGCCTATCGAAGGCATGGCATGCCGTCACTTACTCCAGTAAATTTCACGAAGGTACGTAGCCTATCGTAGCCTATGCTACCTGAGTTTCGTGTAACTTGGTACTGGTGGGCGCTCCTATCGATACCTCCTGGATTGGCCACGTTTGTACATCGCTTGCAGTGCTTTGAACTTTTTTCTCAACACTTTGCTCCAACTCTTCTGTTGCGCTCCGCACTTCTCCATTCTCCTTTTTCTTGGCACTGCTCCCCTCATCATGTTGCTATGTTCTCCTTGAGCAAACCTTTCCAGCACTTCCCCTTTGATTACGTTTCTCTCAACACTCCTTTTTGAACTTGCTTTTTCCAAGGAGTTTTTTTTTTAAACCAGTTTTTCCCTAAACTTTTGATATGTATATAAATATTTATAAATAAATATATAAATAGATAGATAGATAGATAAATGAATAATATACGTATACGTATACATATATAATTAATACATACATACATACATACATACATACATACACACACACATAGACATACATACATACACACACACATAGACATACATACATACACACACATAGACATACATACATACACACACATAGACATACATACATACATACATACATACATACATACATGCATGCATGCATGCATGCATACATGCATACATGCATACATGCATACATGCATACATGCATACATGCATACATGCATACATGCATACATGCATACATGCATACATGCATACATACATACATACATACTAATTTTCTTTTTTGCTGCGTAGCACGCCTCTATCGCCATTCTTCTCTCAGACCGTTTCACAGTTGATCTATGCAAGACTGCGTTGCATTGTAGCTTTCGTCCACCCATCCCTCTTAAGTCCGTGGTACGAACAATACAAAAATTGAGTTTGGCCCGAAAAATTGTGATTTCCCCCGCAAAAAAAATGTGGTGTTGTATCGTATGAGATAGCATAAGATTGGACTAGTCTGGACTGGATAGTGCACTCAATTCCTGAAAGTGAGATCGATCCATCCGTCCATCCTATTAGAGCAGGGAAGCAGGCAAGGCAACCAGGCAGGCAGTCAGGTAGAAGGTCGATGAGTAGATGGATGGATCGGATGGATCGATAGACAGATAATGATAGATATACAGATCAATAGATATATAAATGTATACATATATATCTACAGATGGGCAGAGATCTAGACACAGTTCGGTCAAGTAGATATAGTATGGTGACAGATGGATCAATATGTATAGCCAGATCGATTCATAGATGGATGGATCCATGAAGAGATCCAAGGTTTCTCCGTTAGTTTGACCACTAGGTTTGTGGCAATCGCGCCTTCCGCGCGCAAACCACGTGAGCTGATTCCAGTTGATGCGATCAATATTTCCCCCCAAACGTGAGCAAGACGATGATGATGAGAGGGGACTGGGGACATTTGAAACTTGACGGTGTTTGAGACAATCTTAGGTGCAGACAAGAAATCACGATCAGTAAGTCTTCGTGTCACGAGAGGCTTTAGATGCTGAAGCAGCGCGAGCTTTCGCGGACGGAGCAAATGTGTCTTCGCTGATACACCCTCAGGAGCTCCAACAGCGACACTGTGTTTGTACTGATCACAACTGACTAACAACTGACTATTAGATACTATTAGCAGAGGTTCACTTTTCTTTGACCCTTCATCGCCTGGAGCGGACAGCTCTCCTGTAGTCCACATAAGACGCACGACAACACCGCAGATTGCACCGATTCAGGCTTGCTTGTTTGGTGTCCATTATGAAACAAGAAGAATATCGGAAATGTGATTTGCAAACACGTGGCAAACACCGGATCTAACACGTTCCCAAATCATCCTACATGATTTTACACCTATTCCGTTTGGGCTGGTGATAGCAGAAATTCAGCGTGGCCGACGCGGTCTCTCTGAAACTTCTTGAGAAACTGTGAATGAAACTGAGTGTGATATAGTGTGATAATTTTGAGATTTTTGAGGACTTGGCCCAAGCCATCTATGCTTTTGCAAAACTTGGTGCGCCAGAGCTCGTGCCTGTCTTTGAGCAGACCTGTAACTCCTGTAAAGTTGAAAACGTGAATCAACGACTTGCATGCAGGGGATGGAGAAAGACAGGACGAGAACGAAAGACAGAGAGATAGAGGGAGCAAAGCAACCAAAGTGATTCAGGACTGAGATTTGCAGGTACAGGGATTCTGTTCATGATGCCTTGCAGCGCCTGTGACTCAGGTCCCAGAAGCGTTCAGGCCACCCATCTCGCAGGTCTTAGTACGATCAATGAAGGCAACCTGTGGGTTCTGTGGGTTCACACGGTCCGACCTTTTTCTTCAGCCAGCTCTTGAAAGAAGACCACAGATTTTGTTGCAAGGGATGTATATATAATAGTCTTACGAAGTCGGGACTGGAGCAGAATGACCTGACCTGTTTCAGCCGTTGCAGCTTTCTTAATTGCAACCAAGCACGTGTGACCTCTACAGGTGTCCCCTTTGCCAAGAGACACATCCGTCTGCATCTATGTCTTTCTTGTCAAGTATGCACTTGGTATTTGAATCATTTTGAGACTCATTGGCTTGTTCCGATTTCTTCAGGTTTGAGGCACCCCATTTGTTCTGACGTGGTGCATAGAATAGAAGCACTGCGCAGCCTTCAATCAGAACTGGGCATTTGGAACTGACCCGCAAAAGCTGATCCCAAAATGCACCAGACACACAATGATAAGCATACGACGGCATACGATGATACCATATGATCTAGTCATATCATGTCATATCTAGTCCATCTCAGTGCAACACGTCAAACATGATACAGAGAGAATACAGGTGACACGGTTTACTTTAGTTAAGTCCATCCGCATCCGTAGACTATACTGTGCTTCAAACTATACAAAATGCAATATCTGGCAATGGAATGATTTGTTCTCGCTATTTGTGTCCGCGAAGAGCATTCGATACCTTGATGATGTGCTTGGACTTGATGAGTGACATGATGTCACAGTCTGATGCAATACAATAGGTTCCTTCAAAAAGAAATCAATTTTTGAAAGCAATACGCAAACTTATTGACATTTCCCTGGAACCGACATGTACCAAAGGTACATGGGTGATATCCCAACATGTGTCACATACTGTCAAACGCTTCACCATGCTACTATGTTTCCTAGGTTTCGGAAATATTTCGCAATTTATGACCTAGTTTGATATCTATAGTGACAGACAATCACTGAGAACATCATTTTGAATATTTTTGGGCTGACGCCCCTCGTCGGCTCCGCCGGACCACTCGGCCCTCCATTTCATCGCAGTGTGGGCGTGAAAGTTACTGAATGAGGACCTGCTTCAGAAATATATTCCTTAGGTTTTTTGGAACATATTTGTTGGAATAGACGATTTTTTGGGGAGCAAGTGAGTTCCCGAAAGATCCTGCGAAGGGTTTTTCCTAAAGAACTGCTGCCGATTTCAACTTGTTACTTCGTGTAAAGGCGCCTCTGTGCAAAGACTTCTCTGTGTAAAAGCTTTTGTGTGTAAAAGTTTCTGTGTGTAAAAACCACTTTGTGTAAAGACTTTTTTGTGTAAACGCTTCTCTGTGTGAAAGCACGTCTTTGTAAAGATTTCTCTCTGTGTAAAAGCTTCCGTGTATAAAAACTCTCTGTGTAAAGGCTTCTCTGTGTAAAAGTTTCTGTGTGTAAACGCGTCTGTGTGTCAAAGCTCTCTGTGTAAAGACTTCTTTGTGTAACAGCTTTTGTGTGTAAAAGCTCCAAGATGTTTGTGTGAAAAAGCTCCTCAGAGGAAAGACTTCTCTGTGTAAAACCTTCTGTGTGTAAAAAGCTCCTTTGTGTAAAGACTTCTCTGTGTAAAAGCCCCTGTATGTGTAAAAGCTTCTGTGCGACTCCTCCATCCAGCTTTCTTTCGGGTCACGCTGTCGTCCAGTTTCAATCTGCAACATTGTTTCTTGTGGAAGAATGCAAAGAACAGGTGAAAGCATCGCAGGTTAAAAAATTGAACATAAACAGGGCACAGAGTGCTGTAATTTACAACATTTTGCGCTGTCAGATGGCAAGAACCCGCGTAAATACCACAGTTTTAGTCCCCGAAAGGGGCTAAAACACTGTTATTTGCAGGGTTTCGTTCACGTCACGATCTTCGATTTTTTGAAAAACGCGTAAATACCAGCGTTTTTTGCGTTCATCAACGCGAAAAATCGGTTC